ATTGTATGATTATTTGTGTATTCTATTTCTTCATTTCCTAATTTTATTTTTGGGTCTTGTTCTTTGTTTTGTTTATGAAATATATTGCTTTACTCATCACTGAATTTATTTTAAGGTTCCATTTATTTGACCATTCAGTATTATGTTTATTTTATATTCCAAATACAAGTTATTTATAAAAAATACGTTATTTAATGCCTCTAGTATGTTTTTATTTGATTTGTGAGAGTTAATCATCTGCATGAATTATCTTATTTATTTCTTTTGGTAGTTTTATATCTGACATGACTATGTTGAGTAGCAGATTCTTGTGGGACTCCATTTAGTATTTTCCAAGTTTTTTTTTTTTGCCAATTTTGACTAGGTATGTTCTATCTTTTAAAAACTTGTTAATCCATTTTGATATCATACTCCCTATTGCTATATTTTTGTTTTTGTTATAAATGTTTTGTGATGGAATCAAAAGTTTTCAGTATGTAAGCATACTACTTGTGTATATATTTTTTCTTATTGCTTGTCATTTTTTTATGTCGTGTATTTGTAATACATCTACTGTGCTTGCTTAGTCTGAAACCTATAAGATATATATATGCTTGTTTTGTTGGGTCTGGTTTGTGAATTGGGTTGATTATTACTTTTTTAGTGTAATATTCTTTTTCCCATTATCTATTGGTTTGATGATTTAATTTTTTGATATTGCATATATTATGTTCTTATTTGCTTTTTGGAAAATTCATATGTGTATGCTTACCCACTTGTGTTTTTAAAACATATGTTAATTTTTCTAAGGGTATCTTTGTTTGTCTTCTTTATTATAACTGTTCAGTATTTCTTTGTTTTTCCATTTTTGTTATCATTTTTGTTTGCTCATTGTTGTATTTTCATATTCATCCTTAAACAATTCAAATTTTTTTTAAAGCTGTATCATTGGAAAGTTCTTGTTATTAAAGGGTAATTGCTTGTTGTTGTTTTACTTTTTTCAATGAAATTTCTATTTTTATTGGAAGGAATTTTGAAATTTATGGAGGCACAAAAGTTGCTTTGATTCTCTTTTAATGACTTACTCTTTTTAGCTTCAGATTCCTTCATTTCTGAATTTCCAAATTCTTTCTAAGATCTTTGAAGGGATTTGACAGTTGCCATCATTTATGATTATTGGAAAGTGGACACTACCTAGCTTTGGGCCTGTTGTAATAGTTAAGTGACTTATTAAGGGTGAACCAATGGCCAGATATGTGGTGACTTCTCCATTTGTTTTGGATCTATTATTGTTACTTGTCCTTTTGGTGTCACTGATTAAATAGGTATAAGTTGAAGACACTAATGCGCGTAGATAGAGGGAAAAAGAATGGGATAGAACATAGTTTAAGCTGCAGCGGCCTCATTTACCACTGAATGACAAAAATATAACGCATGGTCGCTGCTCAAATTCTAAATCGATCAGCTTGTTTACCTTGCCAAGAAAAACACAACACAGACTTCTTAACTCATTACTGCGATACCCTAAATAGTACCAGTGTTACTACGTGCATGTCAAGACAATATTTGGCTAATTACCCATGCATGTTGTTACACATTTAAGCTCTTAAAGTCTTTTATTGATTTTATTATACTTAATTAAATTTTTTTAGATTGATTTATAGCCTTATTTAGAATCGTTGGCATCTTGCATTTCACACTTCGTTTCGCCAGCCGCCAGGTTCACACCTGGTGAGCCCGCTTGTTAGAGTAATTAAAGATGTTTATTACTATAAGTATACCTCGTATATGTCTATGATATACCTCATATTACCTAGACTAAGGTAAAGTTATATTTTGTTAAATTACCCGTATAAAAGTATATTTTCTTTTATGTGCCCCATCTTACGGCAAATTTTTATACTCTTGTAATGTAAACAACCCCATGTAGTGCCACATAAATTCCCCTGAATACATAGAGTTAAGCGCATCAACTTTGTGTTTTACTGATCCCCACAGAAAATCATATATGCATTGGCAAACCAAACTTGCCTATTACACGCAGGGAAGATGAGTTCTCCCACTACGCCAACAGGTTATGGACCCAGATTTAAGCAGTTTGATAGTGATGCAAACAAATATGATTTGTGGGTAGAGCACTTCCTCGGCACATTGGACATACTGGAACTACATCTCACGCTTGATAAGTATGCCTCAGAACGTCCAGAAGGTTTTAATCTGGATCGTGCCAAAAGGACAATCTACAGTCATTTAACTGGTTGTCTTGACAGAGCGTCACTTGGCATGATAAAACATGAAGCGAAAGGAGACAGCGTGAATGCATTACTACGAATGCATTACATAAGGGAATCAGACCAGAGGTTGTATGCTTTATTAATGTCATTCTTCACCAAAAGACAGGAGAATGGCAGTGCTATGGAGTATCTCTCATTCCTTTGAGTGGAGAATGGCAATGCTATGGACTATCTCTCATTCCCTTTGAGGAGACAATAGCAGCACTCAGAGAAGCAGGTGAGAGCATTAGTGATCGTATCTTAGTGGTAACCACACTAAAAGGACTAACACAGATATACAAGTTTTGTTGATATAGCTAATCAATGCAACCCTCCATATGGGTTAAAGACAGCTATATTTACTTATGAAGATTCTCCCAAAGGAAATTCTGATACAGAGAGAGTAATGGTTGCCCAAGGTAATAATACAATTAAACAGATGAGACGTTTCAAGTGTGGTGAACCAGGCCATTTTGCATCTAAATGCTACAAAGGTGGTGAATATAAAACGGTAAACAACCTGAACAAACCTCAAAATTGTCAAAAAATGGTGTGAATTTAAGAATTCACAGTACTAGTGAATGTAGAACAAAGAACCCCAAGAGGAGTAATAACTCAGTAAATTCTGCTGATGATACAAGTGAGCCACAAAACTATGAATATTCTTTCCATGTAACACGCTCAAGGTTATGACCCGTTGAGGGGACCTCAGAGTCATATGACATTGGAAAAGAAAATGTATCAAGCTTAGAAGCAGATGAAAGTTTGATCATGATTGACAGTGGTTGTACTTCACATTTAGAAATAAATGAACCAAAATTTGTA